AAGCCTTTCATGGAGGCCACATTGCCCTTTTCCATGTTTAATAGGACCTTGCTCACTTTAGCCAGCTGAATGGTAGACTCTTGGAGGCGGTAATAGTGCCTATGAATGTCAATGTTGTGGCCAAGAAAGGTTGCAACCGAATCCAACTCATTTTCTTTAAGGTTTAGTAGCTGCATCATAGTTGCTATGTGTTTTCTTAGTTCTGTACCTTTTATTGAATCAGGATCCTTGAGCCCAGGGCAGTCATTTGTCATGTTTTTCAGAACTACGCCTGCCCGGTATGCGCCTGTAGACGAGTTCAGTGCAGGGAATTGGTAATTGTTACCTGTTGGGACGCCGACCTTCTCTCGGACATTTTGGAGTAGTTTGACAGCGTCCTGCAGTTCTGTGGTTAGGATGATTGGTACTCCTCGCCCTCTCTTTCCCCTGATGTATATCAGCTGCAGTCGCTGACAGAGGGCCATCTCCATTTCTGTCAGTGAGTTGAGAATGGTCTTATCTTCTCTCTCGGGTAGTTTCGATGAATTGTTGTAGTGTTCTACTTCCATAAACTGGCATTCGCCTGGCCGCCGTCTGTTGAGCACCATGACTTGGCAAAGGGTGACTTCCACCAATTTCCTATATGTCATTTTCGACGGATCTTTTTTCAAGGCTAATAGGGCTTCCTTCGCAGTTTTCTTAAAGAATATGTGCAGGGTTTTTATATCTTCAGCCAGAGGCAGCCTCTTTACTTTGTTCCACTTTGCATCTTCTAAGGTCCTAAGGGCCAGCTTTCCACAGTCACTCGACCATTCTCTTTCCAGACGCCCTCTGAACATGTGGACTGGTTCCACTAAACGGTGTGTCTCAAAGTCATCGAGACATTTACCAATGTAGTGGCTGCTGATATCCATCAAGTCCATTTTCAGTTTCAAAACGTAGCTTGCACTCATGAATTTGTTCCCTTTTGGATGGTATTTTGCAGCTGCCCGGCCTGCCTCCACCACCAGTCTGTACTTTGTGGCACAGAACAGCTCGGTGATACAACCAGTGCTGGGAGACAGCTTCTTCACTTCCACCATCAACCGACCAAGTTCTCTCATCTTGTCCTTCACCACACGGTCGCGGTTTGGAGAGTTCTTGTCTGTCAGGTCTTGAAAAAGTTTTCTCCCATACGAAAGTATGGTGGCGTCTGTTAAAATAGTGGTAAAAACTTCGTCATAATTCATGTGGCTCAGTATCGTTTCCCGGAATTCATCATTGTCACTGTCTGTCTCCACAGGGGGGAGGAGCATGGCACTTCGTGCTTGAATTCCTTTTAGGTTTTGCTTCACAGGAGATATGAGGGGGGGGGAGGGGCTGGTGGTCAGACTCAGAGTGGCAATCAATAGACTCAATCTAATTCCTAGCTTTCAATTTGGTTTCAGGCCTGGCATGTCATGCGAAAATGCCCTTGTCAATTT